ATGTACTTCTAGCATTATCCTTATTTTTAACATGTCATAGAACCTATTTGTGGAACAGGAATATGAATGGCTTGACTTTGTTACATAGCCTGTGTTTGTCTTTCATACTTTTAATTTTTTTTTCATACTTATTTTTAACAACACATTTACACAATAAAATATTTTAAGTATAAATTCAAAACTCTTTCTTATTATCCTATAATTGTCAAGCCACAGAAGAAAACTATTTTTAAAAGCATGTTCGGAGATTTTTTATTTTTAAAGCAGATCTTTAAATTTAAAGAAAAAGATTGATGCACTCCAATAAATTCTTTATTTTACTTTTTTAAAAAGAAATATATATTTTTTTTCTCATTTTTAATTATTATATGTATTTTTTTTATCCGTCAAATGATCAATAAGTTTAAAAATAATTCGAGCGCTTCAAGAAATGTGACATTTAAATGTTTGCAATTTATCAAATGCAATGATTATAAAGTAGATATAAAAATTGTGTTTGGCTCTAACACTATCCTCATGGACGATCAAGATTTCAAGCCATTCATATCAATTTTGCATGTATGGAAACAAAGTTGAAGACATAATTTTGTTGCTTGACAGCTAGATTGTTCAAACCGAGTCAATTTATAATTTTAAAGTGTTCTACAGGTGCAATTTCACCACAGCCTCCATTATTTTCCATTAAATTATAACTAATTCACATTTTTTCTTATCGATTATTTATTATTCAATAAAATAATATTACACGTAAATCCAAAAAAATTTCTTTCATTTTTAACTACACATTCTTCGAAAGAGTAATATTATGTGGTCCCACTGAAATTGTAACCACAGTCTATATGATTCTAAATAATAAATTAAATGAAATGTGAAATTAAATGATTTTTTAAATTTTACCTATCATTTAATGCCACTAGACTGAGATTGTAACCCCAATATGACTAAAAAGCAGTACTCATCTCAAAAAGTTATTAATAATGGAGCCAAATATCAATAATGTTCGTTGGGGTGTAGTACAGGGCCCATGTGGGCCCTTATGGCTCTGTACAACCAATAGGGTTCATTAAAATATTCACCACTTGACACTTGTTATTGAAATTATCGAGGAAAAAGACAGCCCCTTGTTTGGTACACGAACTTAAAAAAATTCATTTTTACAAAACTTATTTTCAGAGTGTGTTTGGGACACATTTTTTTAAAAGAATGTATTATTGAATAGTAGATTGATGGAGAATATGTGGTTAAAAATGAAAAAAAAATTATTGATGTGATGAAAAATATTATTTTCTTCTTCAATAATGTGCATCAAACACCCCATAATATAATTGGGCCAAGTAGCAGACTCAATTATTAATCTTTTATTGATCTGACATTTGCAATATTTAACTTTTTTGTTATTTAGCTTTTTCATTTTATCCTTTCTTAATTACACATTTATCAATAAAACATTTATGTACCCGTAGCATTTTCTTTAAAATATATATTTTTTCTCAAAATTTGATTTGAATGGAGCTCGAACAAGGGCTATGCTATACGAGGCCTCTAGCCAGTCACCATCGTGGAAGGAAACTGTTTTACGATTTCCCATGGTTGGGTCGGTGATTCAAGAAAGGAAAAAATATTATAAAATGACTTGGTTACACAAATAAGAAGACTTGGTTTCACATATAAATGAAACTATTGCTTGCGATAATTTCCATGTTGAAGTCAATATTCCCATCTTCACACCATGTAGCATAGTATAGCTGCAATACGTGTAGAGGTGATTTTGTACCAACTGAAGAAGAGATGACGGACGCTACGGTGGCATTTGTACTAGAGAACCTAAAGGAGTTGATTGATTCCACCAGTAAGCAGATTTCTGAAGTGAATAATAAAGTGCGTTCTCTGATTCGTGATCTGGATTTTTTCAAAGGCTTCCTCCAGGATGCCACCAAAAAGCCGATCGAGGATGCTGCCATGAAAGCATTGGTGAAACAAATAAGAATCGCAGTATACGAAGCAGAAGATATTGTGGATGAATATGTTATTGAGGCAGCTCAGCACAAATCCAGTAGTATGTTTAAAAAAATAAAGCATCCGTTGGAGCATCCCACAAAGCTTTTAAATCTGGCGCAAAAGATTGAGCCCATGAAGGAGATGGTGAATGAAATATATAAGAAGAAGGAGTTTGGCGATGTAGGCAGGCTAGATAGGGAAGGATCTAGCACCTCCAAAATAGCCAAGGTAATATACATATACTCATTTATTCGTGTGTGTATTACTAGATTAGCTCTGTTGATGACGGCCAATCTCCAGGTTGGTTTTGATTGTTTTAATACTCAGTTTAGATTCGTAGCGGATCATCTTCCTATAGTTAGTTTAATTCTTTCTAATTCGTTTTCCGTCCATTTAGACGAATTTCTCACAATAAATCCATGCCTCAAATAGATCTAGATCCTACGCCTCAGATATTCAAACCCCAGATAATTACTGCTATTTCATGATTCATTTCTTTAAAGATTGTAGACGAAGGTGAGAGTCAGCGTGTGTATGACTAACTTCTGCTCCAAATAATTGATAATTTTAAGGAATTTGTTTTGACTTTTTACAGTATTTTAAGCTTTTCTGAATGATGAAAGTATTTTCGAATTTTCCACTGAATTGAACTCTGAAATTACTGTTTTGAGACTTCGCTAACTTTTACTTAGGGCTGTCCGTGGGTCGGGTCGGTTTGGTTCTGAAGAGATCCGAACCGACCCAAAACTTTCTGGTATTTAATAAATGGACCCGT